TAAACCCTAAACCCTAATGCCGAAACTTGCGCGTGCGCGTGTGTGTGCCTTTGAGGGATTTAGGATTGAGGTTTTGAGTGCTGTTCTTCGTATAAGGTTGAAGACCTTAGGGGCTGCAATATTTTGCAGTTTCTGGCTGAAGCCTTCGGGCTTTATTAGGGCTCGGGGATCCTAAACCCTAAACCCGAAACNNACCCGAAACCCTGAACCCAAAACCCGAAACCCTAAACCCGAAACCCTGAACCCAAAACCCTAAACCCGAAACTCTGAACCGTTGGATGTTTCGGGCTTGGTGCTCAAAAAAGTTTCAGGACGGTCGACTATGGGCCTAGGATTTGCAGCTGCGTTTTACCCCAGAGCACCGAAAGGTCCGAAGGGGCTAGGGCTAGGACTTTCAGTTTAGAGATCGGGGTGTGGGGTTTAGGGCTTTGGGGTAGCAAGGTGGGTGGGGGGCGAGCGGTTGGCTTTGAAAGCTGTGGCTTTAACATTTCGCGGGCTGGGGTACAGGGATCGTGAAGGGTTTGCCGGCGACTTTATAGTACCAGAGGGGCAAGGCCCTTTGATTGCTAAACGCGGCTGTACACTCACGCAAGAATGTGCTTCAAAACATCAACCCTAAACCCTAAACCCCCCAACCCTAGACCCTGAACTTCCCCAAGCCCTAAAAACTCTGAAAGCCAACAGACACACAGCACCAAACCTCGCTACTGTGGGGTTCTCTGATGGGGTCCCCTTTAGGGGTACTACAGGGTTCTGCAATAGGGTCCCCTAAACCCTAAACCCTAAACCGTTCTGTAATAGGGCCTAAACCCTAAACCCTGAACCCTAAACCCAAACCCTAAACCCTAAACCCTAAACCGTTCTGTGATAGGGCCTAAACCCTAAACCCTGAACCCTAAACCCAAACCCAAAGCCTAAACCCTATATACACCCTAAACCGTTCTGTATTAGGGTCCCCTTTAATTTTAAAGGTTCCTGTAGACTCAAGACCTGAAGCCCCAAAGCCTCACCGTGCTAAACTGAATCCCTGAAGCCAAAAAGCGTAGAAACCTGAACGGTCTGGGGTTCAGGGTTTAGGGTTTAGGGTTTAGGGCTTAGGGTTTAGGGTTTAGGGTTTAAGGTTTGAAGGCCTAAGATGCATCCTAAACTTGAATGCTCAAGCCCTATTTTCCTAAAGTCCCTGAAACCATCTTCCTGGCTAAACCCTCAGCCCCTGCACCTGAACCCCAAACCCTAACACCCTAAACCCAAAAGCGCCCCCCATCCAAACAAAAAAACACAACTGAAACTCTGAACCGGACCCATAAACCTAAACCCTCAACCCACCTTCTTCTTTAAAAAGAGACCGCCCTGAACCCTAAACCTGGAACCCTAAACCCCTAAACCCTTAAATCTTAAACTCTAAACCCCTAAATCCTAAACCCTAAACCCTAGATCCCTAAACCCTAAATCCTACACCCCTAAATTACCTAAACCCCTAAACCCTAAACCCCTAAACCCCTACACCCCTAAACCCTAAACCCTGAACCCCTCAAGCCCTCAACCTTAAACCCTAAACCCCTAAACCCTAAACCCTAAGCCTTAAACCCTGAACCCTAAAACCCCGAGACCCTAAACCCTAAGCCTAAAACCCTGAACCCTAAAACCCCCAGACCCTAAACCCCAAACCCCTAAACCCTAGACCCTAGACCCTAAACCCTAAACCCCTAAACCCTAAACCCCTGGATCCCTAAGCCCTAAACCCCAAGAGCCGGCCTCCTGCTCGTTCAGCCCCACCCAGGCCACCTCAGACCACTGGCTTTGGCACTGTCGGGCTTGAGGATTTGGGGTTTGGGGTTTAGGGTTTAGGGTTTAGGGTTTAGGGGTGGGTTACTTTTAAGGGTGCAATGGGACTTTCATCTGCCGACTCCCTGCCCATGTTGGGCTTGCACAAACAAAAACAGAGTATTACAGCCAACTACACGCGGGTTTAGGGTTTGGGGTTTAGGGTTTAGGGTTTAGGGTTTAGGGTAGGGTCTTCAAAAACCGGATTTCAAGAAAAACTCAGTGTTGAACATAACAGCTCCATGAACATGAAACACCGCAAGGGCCTATATACGGGTTCTATAAGGCTTTTGGCTTTGGGCTTAGGGCCTGGGGACGGCTGCCGAACAATGCCATTCATTAGGATTCCCGCATACACTATAGTATACGAGCCGCATAGCCTTATGCAGTTCGGGGGCATATTTTTGCTGAAGGGCCACAGGATTCAAGACTTTCGTTTTGGATTGGGAGATTAGGGTTTAGGGAATAATGGTCATTTCAGGATCTAGTGATTCAGCAGTACATGTTCAAGGGCCTCAGGCATTCAGGGAGTGTGGGCTTAGGGTTTAGGGTTTAGGGTTTAGGGTTTAGCGTTTAGGGTGCTCTAGCGATTTCAGCAAGCAGAAGCTGTTTCGGAACCATCCGGCAAACTTGACCAGACATGGATTAACGTAGTTGGAGGTTCATGGGTAGTGACAGGTAGGGCTCTAGCCCCACACGCACATACAATCATACCAAGCGTTTCAGAAAGCCTGTAAATTATCAGTGCTTAAACCCTAAACCCTAAACCCTGAACCCTAAACCCTGAATCCTAAACCCTAAACCCTAAACCCCAAACCCTGAACCCCAAACCCTGAAACCATAAGTACCACGAGCCTTCAAGCTTTTGATTGGCTCCCTAAACCCTAAACCCTAAACCCTGAACCCCAAACCCTGAAACCATAAGTACCACGAGCCTTCAAGCTTTTGATTGGCGCCCTAAACCCTAAACCCTAAACCCCAAACCCCAAACCCCAAACCCTAAACCCTAAACCCTAAACCCCAAACCCTAAACCCTAAACCGAGACACCTCTGGGATGGTCCAGACAATATACGGTTTGGCCTCTTTGTCCTGACGGAATTCCCGAGGTCACGTGTCGAGCCTGTTTTGCCGGGCCTTCCTAAAAGGATTCTCATGGTTTAGGGTTTAGGGTTTAGGGCTTAGGGTTTAGGGTTTAGGGTTTAGGGTGTAACTTCCGCCTACAAGCTTTTTCGCAGAGGGTCGGTGACCCTTCAAGCCCGAACTGCTCCCGCCCGTAATCGTAGAAACGGCGCTACCCTCCTGCAAATGAGGTGGAATCCCAAATAGCCTTCTTACACAAGGGAGGGGCCATAATGGAAACATCTTCAGGTTCCTCGTCGGACACCCTAAACCCTAAACCCCAAAAAGGAAAACGGCCCACGGCTCCTTCAGCGTGTACTGGCCGCTGCCGAACATTTTGCGGACTGCACGGACGGCTTGGGCCTGCACGGGAACCCGACACCCTCAAACCTGGGCCCTAAACCCTAACCTTAAACCCTAAGCCCGAAACCCTAACCCCTCAAACCCTGAACCCTAATCCCTCATATCCTACAGCTACTCATACCTAAGGTCTAATCCTTCAAAGCCAACCCTAAACCCTCAAACCGCAAACCCTAAACCCTAAACCCTAAACCCTAAACCCGAACCCTAAACCCTTAACCCGAACGCCAAACCCGAACCCTAAACCCCAAACACTAAACCCTAAACCCGAACCCTAAACCCTGAACCCTAAACCCTAAACCCCGAACCCGAACCCTCAACCCGAACCCTAAACCCCAAACCCTAAACCCTAAACCCGAACCCTAAACCCTTAACCCGAACCCTAAACCCGAACCCTAAAACCTAAACCCTAAACCCTAAACCCTAAACCCTTAACCCTTAACCTTAAACCCTAAACCCCAAACCCTAAACTTTAGGGAGCTGTGGGATTGGCCGGCAAACGGGCTCTGTGAAGCTCAACAAGATGGCTTGGCCCAAAGCCTGTATAGTAGGGTTCAGGGCTTTAGGGTTTAGGGTTTAGGGCTTTAGGGCTTTAGGGCTTTAGGGCTTTAGAGCTTAGGGCCGCGAGTGTGGGGTACGGGGTTTAGGGTCTAGGGTTTAGGGTTCAGGGTGTAGGGTTCAGTGTGTTTCTTCATTTTGGTGGGTTGAGGGTTCAGGGCTCTGAGCTTTCAGGGTTTAGGGTTCAGGATTTCTTGGGGTTTAGTCTTACTCAAGTTTAACCCCTAAACCCGACAGTCGCATGTGCTGGCCGTCACTGTTAATGCAAAAGGGCGCTATCACATGCAGAGCAAGGAGAAGCACAAGTACAGAGGGAAGCGGGTCGCGATGGTTTCCGACATTAACCTGGCGCGAAGCTACCTATACTAGTCTGGGGGCTCCCTAAGCCCTAAGCCCTAAACCCCTAAACCCCTAAACCCTAAACCCTAAACCCTAAACCGGGCAGACGACGACAGACGGGCAGGCTCTCAAGGCGGCAGTCCTCGGAGGTGTACTGGCGCTTGTACCACTGGAGTCTCGCTGTCAACGCCGTTTAGGGTTTAGGGTTTAGGGTTCTTGCAGCAGTTCGAGGTGAGAGGCTCCGAGCTTCAGGTAATTGGAGAAGTGCAAGCACGTGGACAAGGCCGATTCTGCTCTCAGCATTAAGGAGCCCAAAACCCTATTCTAATTATTAAGGCTCTCTGCTCGGCGTCAATGTCCATCCCTAGATGCAACCTTCTGGGCCACCTGCTTGCTTTTTCGCGTCCTCCAAGCCGAGCGCACCTGGATGGTCCACCACGGCCATGACCCTGTCCTCCTCCTGCCTTAACACCTCGAATGAGGTGCCACGGCTAAAATAAAAGATCATCATAATAAGGAGCTTGAAGGAATAGTAGTACTTCTCCCTAAAGCCTAAACCCTAAACCCCAAAAAACTTCTCCCGAAACCCTAAACCCCCAAAACTTCTCCCATGGGCCATCTAAGTTGTTACCGCCCTCCTCCACAAGATGCGAGGCCTCTCGGCTCCAGAATTCAAGGATCCTTCAGGAGCTCCTTTAAAGGGTTTAGGGTTTAGGGTATGAATCTGATATAAGGGCCCAAAAACTTGCCAAGACTATTTTTGAGAAGGTTCCTTATTATAATGATAGCATAATATACCCCCCAAAACCCTATTCTAATTATTACGGCCCCTTTTTTTGAATGGTGTGCGAACACGCAGCCTGGGAGCGACAAATTCTCGGAAAACGATGGTTTAGGGTTTTCGTTAAGTGTAGTAGCGCCCCTTTGGGTTTAGGGTTTAGGATTTAGGGGTTTAGGGTTTCGGGGTTTAGGGTTTAGGGGTTCAGGGGTGCTTTTAGGATCATGGGACTGAGCAGCTAGCGTAGAAGTAAGGTGACTCTACAATTGTACTTACTTCCAACCCGGGTTAGAGCATTCATGCCCTATTTACTCCTGCACCCCACAGCAAGCCCAAAATAGCCCCGTCAGACCCTCTTAAGACCCGTCCAAATGCCTATCAAACCCCTACAGTGTCTTCAGGAACTCTGGTGGAAGTCTCGCCGAGCCTGGCCGACAGTCGCCAAGTTGCCGCCGGCCACGTCGCCGACGGCGTAGATGTTGGCCACACCGGTGTACTGATTCCTTTCCGCATTCTGTTAAGGCTGCTTTCAGGGTTTGGGATTAAGGAGTACGGGTCTAGGGCTTGTTGCGTCGGGGTGTAAGGGTCCGAAACCCTCAACCCTCAAGCTTAAACAATGAAGCATACACCGAAGTTGCCAACCCTCAACCCTGAGCTTTACCGCTAGGAGTCAGATTGTGTTGAAAAAAACAGCAGGCTTCCATGTCATCAATTCTAAACCGCACTGCGAGAATTGCAAATCCCCAAACCCTCAATCCTAAACCCTAAACCCTCAACCCTAAGCCTCGAACCTAAGAGCCCAGAAATTCTCCGCTGATTGCAGCTTGGACCGCCAAGGATGCATCCACTGAACTTCACAGAACCCCTGCAGCACTTTAAGCGACGTGTAACTCTTAAAGGAACCCTTATAACTCTTAGAGGAACCCTTATAACTCTTAGAGGAACCCCTTCTAACACATAAAGGAATCCCTTTTGACACTTCAAGGAACCGGTGTAACACTTGAAGGTTATAACACTGAAGGAACCCTTCCAACACTTAAGGGACCCGTATAACCCTTAAAGGCAACCTTCTCACGCTCCTTATAACACTGAAGGAACCCTTGTAAAACTTAGAGGGACGCGTATAACCCTTAAAGGCAACCTTCTAACACTTGAAGGAACCCGTCTATATAACGCTTAAAGGAACCCTTCCAACACTTAAAGGAACCCGTATAGGTCTTAAAGGAACCCTTGCAACAACCTTTGACATAGTAGGATCTTGTTTATTAGGAGCCCTTGAAAGGGCACTTCAATTCTCTGAAACTGGGCTCTCGTTAAGGAACCTAGTTTAAGTTACTATCATAATGATCTGAAAAATCTCAAAAAATTTGGCTCCCTGAATATGGCAGCTTACATGAAGCCACTCTAAAAGAACCCCCGGGAAATCCGAGTTCTTTGGGTTTGGCGCAAGCGCCGAAAGTCGCCCAGTCCAGACGAAGCCCTAGTCTTGACCTCAACCCTTGGGGCTTAAAGGCTTGTTTAGGGTTTAGGGTTTAGGGTTTAGGGTTTAAGGGCGGTATTGCAGGTTCCTATAAGAGTCCCTTGGAGGATAATTTAGGGGTGTTTAGGCTTTAGGGTTTAGGGGGTGAGGACGTGGGATTAACTTCCCCACTCCTAAACCACTGTAGCATGCCAGTCTCTTTTATCATACATGATCCAAGGATGGGTGTCTGCAGATATGAGTTTGGGAAGACGACGCAAGGGCACGCATGTATGCATGCGTATTATGTTATATACATATATGAATACGCCTATGATTACATATGTGGGTATATACTATACATGCGCAGTGTATCATTCAGGTGTAGCTAGCTGGTGCTGCAGAATATCTTCCGTGACCCTTTGGCAGAAGGAAGGCACATCTCCGTATTGCGGGTGGGCCGCCCTTTGTAAATAGAATAGGCTTTGGTGTATATCATGTGTGTGCGTGTAAACATCGTTATATATATATTTACTGTATATATTAACTGTACAATCAGTATATATATATATATATATGTATTTACTTATGTCTAAAGTCTAGAAGAATACACCTCGGGAAGCCTGTTCTGATTACTAAGGCCCCTCCCTTAGACAAGCGGCTCGTCCACCTGAATCATCTTCCCACGGCCAGTCTTGACACCAACCGCCTCCTCGTGGCAAGTCGGCTTCTAGCAACGCCAAACCCCAAACCCCTAAACCCAAAACTCTGGACCCACAATCCTAAACCCCAAACCCCTAAAAATTTCGGTTTTGGGCTTCGTCTTCAGACCCTAATAGGTACCCCTATAGATCCCTTGAAGGAACCCTGGTAGATCTATTTGAGGGACCCTATCCAAGTAACCCTTAACCCCAATCCCCAAACCAAGGGTCCCTACACCCTCGGAGGGTCCCTACACCCTCGGTTTAGGTTTCAGGGCTTAGGCCGTACAGCCCTACACCCCTAAAGTAAAGTTTAGACCCTCTAGCCCCAAACCCTAGGCGGTTTAGGGTTCAGGGGTTTAAGGCTTAGGGGTTTAGGGTTTAGGGTTTAGTGTTTAGGTTGGGGTTTAGGGGTTTAGGGTTTAGGGGGTTTACCCACGAACGCACATACATTAGGAACTCACACCTACGCTGCTAGGAATCCTAGAGACGTGGGTTCCTACATGGGGCTGCTTTCCCCCTAAACCCTGAACCCCAAACCCTGTATAAACTTTAGGGTCCTTATCGTTAGGTTGAGGTGCCTCTTTGCCCCCTTCCGGCGCAAAGAACCCAGAGATCAAGCTACCCTGTAATCCAGGAATATACCGTTAAATTATAAAGGGGGCCCAATGTCCTGCTCAAAAGGTCAATTCCTCAATTAAGCCCCATAAATCCCTACGAAATCGCATAAACACCTCCAAAAGCCCGACAAATCCCCACGAAGAAGTATCAACCCCCCTAGAATGTCCTTGCTTCCTGAGTGAAAGGGAGGGGACTGCTGCAGCGGCCCTAAACCCCAGACCCTCAAAAAACCTAAGCCTAAAGCCTAAACCCTAAAGACCTAAACCCTAAACCTAAACCCCGAAACCCTAAAAACCTAAACCCAAAACCCTAAAAACCTACACCCCCAAAACCCTAAACCCTAAACCCTAAAACCTAAAACCCTAAACTGCAGCCGCGCGACCCAGCACATCCTGACAAGCGAGAAGCGTCCTCAAAGCCTCCGCCTCCGGGGTCGCTTCTGGGAGGTTTTTGCGGGGACTTAGGGTATTTTAAGGCTTTAGGGCTAAACTTGAGGGCTTATAGGGTTTAGGGTTTAGGCTTTAGGGTTTGGGGCTGATAGGGTTGAGGGTTTAGGATTCAGGGTTTGAGGTTTAGGGTTTAAGGTTTAGGCTTTAGGGCTGAGACGGTTTAGGGTTTAGGATTTAGGGCTTAGTGTTTACGAATCGGTACCCAGATAGATAGTCAGAATATTTGTCCCATGTTTAGGCTTTAGGGCTTATAGGGCTTAGGGTTTAGGATTTAGGGTTTAGGGTTTAGGGTTGAAGGCGTCTGGTACTTAGGGTTTCAAGCTGCGCTGCTCTAATTTTCGGGCTTTGGCCTTCGAGCACCGGTCTTAAGGGGCCCTGGGCTTTTTCTTGGGGATTAGGGTTTAGATTTGGGGCGTAGTGCATAGGGGCTTTTGGGATTTAGGGCGCAGGGCTCTGGTGGCTTTCAATGCTTTTGATTCTCTGGGTCTGTTTAAAGTTCGGCGCGCAGCTCTCAAGTTTAGGGCGTTAGGGTGTCAGGATGCTGCCGCCTAAGGTTTGACAAGAAAGACTAGAAGCCCGGGGCTTCCTCTCTTCAACGTGATCAGGTTTAGGATTTCTACATTTTTCCTGTCAAAACCACTATAGACAAGTGATGAAAACCTTCTATACTGACTGCCCCTTTGAAAAGCCCAGGTCTAAGCAAGGCCACAAAAACTTGTAACCCTGCCACAACAAACCAGAGAAAAAACAAAGAACAGAAACAAAACCACTCTGCGCCTCAGTTTGGGCTGCCCTGCTGCGCCGGCGCTCAGCGTCCAGCGCGGCACTGGAATGGCTGAAAATAGTTTAGGGTTTAAGATTTCCGCAGTTTTCGGGGTTTGCAAGATGCAACTAAGCATTCATAGGTGTTTAAGGGACCTTTAAAGGAACCCTGCAAGGGACTCCCTTACGGAAGCCTATGGTGCCCTTTATAAACCCCAAACCCTTTAAAGGAACCCTTTAAACGGAACCCGGGAGATCCCTGCAAAGAAGCCCGTAAACAAAGCCGAAAAGATCCCTGTAGCCTTTCAAGGGAAGCCTTCAAAAGCACGATCCCAGACCCCTCACAGGAGCCCGTTATAGGGGACCCTTTTATAGAGCCCTACAGTACCCTCTAAAGGGAGGATGGTATGGCAGAGTCCTAGCCCTAAACCCTAAACCCTAAACCTTAAACTCCCTGCAGTACCCTTGAAAGGGCATCCTACTGTTGATGATATAAATCCTGCATTACCCTAAGGATCCTAAGCTATGGAAATTATGGTATATTCCTTTTTATGGGTAGTGCAGGATTTATATATCATCACCAGGATGGTTCGCCCCGCAAGGTGCTGCAGGACTCTTTTGCGCTCGGCAAATCCTCGTCTATGTCCTCGACCATGGCCAATAATTCTTTGAGCGGCAGAAGGCTCTCAGTCTCAGCCACGATAGGCCAATCTCGCTTCTGTGCTTTGGCACTACATTTCCAGTCCCGTCTCAGCTTTCTCAAGCTGCTCAGAAGGGATTACACATCCACAGCCAAAGCTTCCCGAACGGCAGGCCGAACATGACATGGATGAAGTAGCTTCTGCAAAAGCAACGTCAAGAGCTTCTGGCAGCTCGCAGAGCTGATGAGAAAGCTATAGACAAAGCTACGGGAAGGCTGTCGAAAGCAGTCCTCTTCGTCAAGCGGCGTTTCTTCTGACCTGGCGGTTTGGCATCGGCCAAAAGGGTGGAACGACCTCTGTCAAGACGAGGTCCTGACGAGGCACCCAAGGTGCCGAATAGCTTTCAAAGCCCTATAGCCGTGGAGATAGATATATCGTAAAGTGTACAACCGATGAAACCTAAACTTCAAGGCCTAAGTGGCACAAAAAGCGAGGACTAAGACGTCTAAACCGGAGAACCCTACTCACTCAAGTTCGGCCTCTCGGAAACTCGCGCTAGTTCCTAAACCCGAAAACCCTAAACCCTAAACCCCCAAACCCTAAAAGCCTATAAGCATCAACCGTAGTGTAGAGTCCAAAAGTACCTAGACCCGAAACCCTAAACCCT